CTCTCTCTCTCTCTCTCTCTCTCTCTCTCTCTCTCTCTCTCTCTCTCTCGGGTGTGTGCTATTACTTTTGTTCGACAGGCGACGACTTGAGAATTCAACTTGGGCTTCCCGATTCCCCGAGTGTAAAATTGAGATAAAGACAAATTAAAGTAAATAAACAGATATATTGTCAATGACAAAAGAACGGGAAAAAAATTACTGCGTGTGTGAGTGTATTATGTGTAATGTCCGAACCGGAGCAACATAAAAGCCAACGCATTCACGTTAAATTGATCTGAATTGCAAGGTGATCGAAATGCAGAAAGACTGTTGTGTATTTTCTTTTCTTCATATGTGATATGAATGACACTTTTCGGCTCGACTCGGCACGGCACACCAATAAGTTGGTCTTTGTGTGTGTCAACCATCGTCAGCCATTAACAGCGCCCAAAGACACACCCAAAAACATTTTAATAGCAATTGTGTCGTCTATTTAGTTGAAAATCATTGATTTCTGCCTCCTGCTCATAGTTGTCTTTTTCTCTCGACTCTTAATAAGCTTTTATCGGCAAAGCCGAGAGCCGATATTTCTATCGTTTCTCTCGCGTTGCCCGCTCAATGGCCTCAATTTTTCTTTTGTGTGACAGTTGACAATGTGTAGTGGACACGAAGCAATAGATTTTCAAAAAAAAAAAGAAAGAAAAAAATAAAACGGAGAAATAGTAGATAAAATTGTAAACAATGGGTTTTTCGTGTTTCTTTTACTGTTTTTTTCTTCTCTTACTCTCACTCTTCCGATCGTGTGCATTTCGGGTCGGTTTCGGTGCAAAGCGACAAACGTTAGTCATTCGATCGATTTCCAATATAAATTGTTTCGACCCACCAGGTGTCTCTTTTGGCCGGTGGTCCTCGCTCTCTCTCTCTCTCTCTCTCTCTCTCTCTCTCTCCGTGTGTCTATCGGATCCATGCCACAATGGAATGCCACAATTTATAATGCGGATAAGGCAAATATTTTCATTAGTGTTATCATTCAATTTGTACGGAGGACCGTAAACGATGGAAAATTCCTTGCAACAACCGATCGACATTAGAACATTCATTGTTTCGTTTTGTGTGTGTTCATGTTTGAAAGAACAGGAACAACAACAACAACAACAAAAATTGCGTGAAACATAGTGCCCGATGTGAGTACACTAGCTTCGGCGGTAGTAAAAACTAAAGAATGACAAAGAAAGTAATGCAATTGGTTTAATTGGTTTGAATTTCGGTTTGTTTTCGATGTGAGAACCACAATGATGATGACGATGATTTGAAATTGAAGTTGTGTGTTGTTGCCGTACGTTGTTGCTGTTATTCTTCTCTTGGTTCCGTCAAGCGGAACATTATCATAAAGACAAAAGATTGACGGTACGAATCGGCTATGCAATTAATCTGGCGGTTTTCAAGTATTTTTTTTTTTCATTTCGAGCTGTGTCATTTTCTCGGAGGGGCTTCGGTAACCAGAAAATTGTCCAAGCGGCAATTTTTTTTTTCGTTCTCTCTCTCTCTCTCTCTCTAGCTTTCTTCTGTTCTTCGCGGCTGAATTTGGAGTATTTTGTGTTTCTGCGCGTTCAATTAAATCGAAAAGCAACATGCACAAAGTAAAAACAACGAGAGAAAAAAAAGAACAACCAAACGAAATTACTTTTAAAGGCAAGTGTTTTTGGAAAACCACAAACGAAAAAAAAAACAATTATCTTGCGAGAAGGGAATTCAAAATTTACTGAAAATAGCAATAACACCGCAGTCAGAGAATGAAATGAAGAGAAAAAAAACGATTCTACACGCCGAAATTTTGGTTAAAGTGGCATCGGCACCAGCAGCAGCAGTCGAAGTCGATCAAAAACGGATTTAGCCCATTGAAAACCCGAAATAAAACAAGTGATCCGACACGAAGCTCAAAAATATGCTCTGTGTAAAACGGCGATGGAGCGTACGAGCCAGCCAACCAACCAGCCAGCGAATGAGAAAGACACACAGCACCGAATTTACACAAATTCATATACAACAAAACGAAATAACAGAAATAACAAATGCATCCAACCGCAGAAACAGAAAAGCGATCCAACCATATATCGAAATGAAGCGAAAATTGTAGCAAAATGGTTAATTTGTTATGTGAAATTCGGTTGATTTTGTTGTTGTTACTGTTGCCGTTGCCGTTGCCGTTGCCGTTGCCGTTGCCGTTGCCGTTGCCGTTGCCGTTCGCGTTTTGTGGCGGCGGCGACGGATGCATCTGAATTTTCTCAGTTGGTTTTGCAAGTTGCCGTTGAATGAAAGATGGGAAAATTGATCGGCACTCTCGACTTTGGCGGTCTGATTCTCTTGTTTTTTTTTCTCTCTCTCGATCTCTCCATTAAATCGTTTTGATTGTTTCATTCTTGGACTGCGAACATAATTGTTGGTTTTTGATATGTTTTCTTTTTCGCATTGCGTACCACATTTACGATGCTACAATGTGTTATAAAAGCCATAGAAAACACACTCTAACGAGTGTTAGATGAATGCCGAATCGGCCAATTTATAAAAAAAATGGGTTTTTTCCCTCGTTCTCTTCCTCTCTCTCTCTCTCCATTTCTCAACAATTCAGCATTTCAACAGTTGTCGATCGAAGGGAAAAATGAATTATTTTGCCGATGTTGGTAACCGTTTAGCAAGATAATTTTCATGTGTATCATTAATTAGTAATCATCATCGACAATAAAGCAAGAAATAACCGCCCACCGCCTGTCTTAATATTGGATTTGTTTGTTCGGGCGGTCAGCTTTATTTGATCAATCGACATGATTCGATGAGAGACGCGCACCGAACGGGGATCCTTTAATACAATCATCTGTGTGATCGTTGTTAATCTTCACCTTCTTTGGCTTTCTCTCTCTCGCTCGCTCGCTCGCTCTCACTGTGCATCAGTCTTATTTGATATTGTGCAGCCCGAGAGACTGCCCATTCATTTTCTTGAGATCTCTGTGTGGCGATCGCGTTGTGCATTCCGTTTTATTTATGCCGTCCATTTTGAAATGCTATAAATTGCTCAATTACACATTCGGCTTTCGGGGACTTTTTACTGCACGTATCGCACCGATCATTATCAGAAAAGCACCACATAATTGAAAATCAATGGCTTCACATGCGCCTTTATCTTCCACCAAACACGCATAAATTCTACACTAAATAAACCATAACAACCAATTCAATGTTTAATCCGATGTTCTATATGTGAATGAATCCCAGTAGAAGGAACGTAGGAAAAAAGCATGTAATGCACAGAACAATATTCGGCTTTTCTCTATCTCTCTAATTCTCTCTTTAAATATATTTTTTTATAGTTATTGTTTTGTGTTGTCGCATTAGTAACGAAAATAAATCAGTGGTTAAGTATCAGGCGGTGTGGTCTCGTTAAGAATGAACGAAAAGAGCCGAATCAAACCAAAGAGAGAAAAAAAAAACAAACGTAATTAAAGGCCGGAGAGCATATAGTTGCTGTCAATCTCGGTGTGCGCTGATTACTGAATCAACTAATGTGCCGATGAAAGACTTCAAAGTGGTTTCGATAACGGTATTGTTATTAATATGTCATGCCAGTAGTGAGATAGACCATTTCTATGGTTTCAATGGGCACACATTTGGGTTATTTATTTGATGTGTTGCTTATTTAAATAAATCCACTATCAATTGTTGGTTGACTTCGATGGGGTTCTTATTTGATGAATGAAATGCAATTGGAGCATTTTTCAGCTGCTGGCCACGAGTTTTGACAATTTCGAGTCTGTTTGAGTGTGTTTGAGTGTGTGTGTGTGTGTGTGTATAATGATGGATTCCGGAAAAATGAATGTGAAAACGGCGCATGTGCACATTGTAAAAATAAAGGCAAAACGTCTTGTTGGTAAGGAAATCGGTTTTTTTTTCTGGGAAGTTGTATGAAAAAGTCGTCGCTATATTAGATTCAACGCAAGCACGATATAACCATGAGTATGGCTTGATTTGTTGGCCGAACACACTGAACATGCCGTCATCATTTTCTCCCCTATTCAACAACAATTACGCTTATACATGTGTTGTGTGGGTTTTTGTACGCTCGTCCTTGTCACTCTCGCCCGTCTCACTTGCCCTGCTCACATTCGACCCTCTCTTTCGGCGCGCGTACTATCACCGCATCCATACCACCACGTTAAACATTGAAGAATGGAAGAAGAAAAAACACACAACAACGTCGAGACATGCAATGCAACGTATAAAATGGAAAATGAAATGCGCGCGTACACTCACATTTTATTGTACTGCAAATAGATTCGGCGAATCCATACTCGACATTTCCATTCCGGGTGATTTGCAGTCAGTTGACATTTCTATCGACGACAACCGAACAAGAAGAACTAGCAGCGGATAAAAAAAAAAACAAACAACAAAAGCACGTCTTGTATTTTGCAGTGTGTGTTTGTTTGCTTCCATTCTATCGATTTTCTAGTATTTTGTGTATTTGTCGATAAAATAGAGACAAAAATAAAACAAGTCCAAAACTTTATTTTGTGAAGTTAATTTCTTTTGAAACGAGATAAAAATAATTCGTGTATATGAATTTCAAACATTGTTTCGAAAAGAATTGATAATTTATTTGCCGCAAAGTGGAAGGAAAAAAGAGGTTTGAAGCGAAAAAATCTAACAACGACTCCAATTAGTGAAACAAAACCTCAGAATAGTATTCATAGAACGAAAAAGAAACAGAAACATTTACTTGATATTGAGTCTGTTTTTTTTTTTCTCTCTATCAAACAGAAAATCTTATGAGTTCTCCTTTATTTGAGGAAAAGTTCCATAAATAAATCGAAGAAAAATAGTTTCAAAGTGTTGAAAATGTGGATTTTTTCAAAACATATTTTTCATTGACATTTATTGTAATTTGCATTGCCACACGATGAAAAATATTGCAGCCCGTCAAAAATTATGAATTTAATTCGATATCGAAAGGAGTGAAAATAGTTTACGCATACATAACTGAGAAATAAATGGGGTTTTTTTCTGTGGAAAACGAGACAATTGGCTCCATTGTTTTGGAATTAAAAGGTTGAAAAACTTGGACTCAAAAGTCAATTGCGAAGAAAAAGCAATTGACGGAAGAAAAAGGGAAAAAAACTTCATCCATATTGTTTGAATGCGCTGCAATCTCGCAGTGTACGAGAAATTCTTACGAAGCGTTTTGTGTTTACGTGTTGTTACCATAGAAACCGTACCGTAAAATATCTGCTGGATGGTGATAGGATAGATTCCGAAGACGGCGAGTTGTGTGTAGTGAATTTTGAATGCGCGCACGGAGCCCATGTGCCCACCGCATCAACGCGAAAAGCATTTAGTGAAATTGCATTCCATGAACTTGAATGCACAGAACACACATACACACACACACACACACGTTGTGTGCCTCTTGTCTAGCGAATGAAGAACCTCATACCACTCACAATCGTTTCGAAATAATCACACATACAAATCGACGACAAGAAGAAAGAGAGAGGGACAGAGAGAGAGAGAGAGAGAGAGAGAGAGAGAGAGAGAGAGAGCGTGAGCGCAGGAAAAAAAGAACCAAAGCAATAACATATACACGCGGGGCACTGCCGTTGTTTTCGTTACATACCGAAAAAAAGACTTAGAAATAGAGAGTCATTGCTCTCAAAGGTTGCATGCAGCCGACAAAAGTGAATAAGTGAGATTGTATAATGTGGTTATAAATAAATGAATAAAAAGGAAGAAAGGACCTTATAAAACGCCGTGATATTTCCCCTCTTTTCTTCCTTGCCAATCCCAACGAACAAAGAGAAGCGAGTGAGAGCGAGCCATGCGAATCAAAAGGGCACTTTCGTGATATTCATTCATTGACATTCGAAAATGGCATGAAATTGTAAGAACAAAAACCGAAATTACAAAAGGCACAAAACGACACGAAAGTTAAGTAGCAGCGACAAAAAAAAACACACACACAATACGAATACAATAAAAGAGAGGCTACGGGGGAAAAATTGACATGCACGCCAAATGCGATTTGGATAGTTTGATTGGATAATAATCGTCGTTGTCGTTGAGACAAGAGAGAGAGAGAGAGAGAGAGAGAGAAATAAAACGAACATTTTATTCGCTGCGCTTTGTTTCGAGTCGGAAATTAAAAATAAAAACATTTTTCGCTTGGTATTTGTTGTTATTGTTGTGTGATGCGGTGATGCGAAGTTGTTCATTCGAATAATGTGGCCGGGATTTGAAAAGTTCAATACCAAACAGGATAATTCAAGTCAAAATGAAACAATAGATCACATCTCAACAATTGCCGGCTCCTTGGCTTCCATCGGAACTGAACACACTGAATCACCGGTAAGCCATCGGAAGCACATAAATGTGCCCAGATTTATTTTCATCTTTTTCTTCTTCTTCTTCGTTTTGTGTACGTCACTAATTCGAATCGCTTCTTTGTTTTTCACGTTATGCTATGCAGGGCTTGGATGATCGCGTCTACGATACAGACCATACCGATCTCAATTCCGATTTCGACGAATCTGAACTGCGCCGTGAACTTCTAGAAGATGTAAGTGAATACTTTGATTGAGATGTCAACCGAATAATAATGAAGTTACAATACAATGACTACTTCGTATTTATGGTGGTTCGTTGAAAAAAAAAAACAATTCACTTTAGTAGCTACTCTGCAGCTGGGCATTCGTTTAAATTCTTTGAATTTGGTTTTCAAAACAGTACCCATGAAATAAATGACATTGAGCAACATAAAAGAGCTCAAATGAGATGCCAATTCTCCATTCTATTGTTTTAATTTTCGTTTTCGATTCTATTCTCCAGAAATGGCGTCAACTCTTCGATAAATTTGATCCGGAAGGTTTTGGCGAGATACCCGTCAATGATTTCTTAGTTGCCTTAAAATCGCCTGAGCTTCAATCGCAAGTGCCTTTTAATAAAATTGAATTGCTTTATCATCGTGCATTGAAATCAAAAGAGCCAAACGGAACGGGGACAATATCATTTCAGGAATTCGTGAATGTGGTGAGTTTTTTTTTTGATATCTTTTTTTCCATTCTTCCCCCTTTTGTTTTCCTCAACGCCAAAAAGAAAACACTAATTTATGCAATACATTTAAAAGATTTGACCATAAAAACCGAAAAAAAAACAACAGAACAAAAATTGGAAACAAGAATATGTGTCATGCTGGTGAGAATGGATTAGTTTATTGTTACGGTTTTCTTCGAAGATAAATCAAATTCTTTGAAATGTAATCGGTTTGCAAATGTTTTGAGAAGAACGTGATCAATTCGATGGGAAATGGTGCATAAAATTTTCGAAAACTATTGGGAAAAGTCATGGAACACCATAAAATGCAAAACTTTCAAAAACCATTGCACACGTCTCTTCTGCTTTTTCTTCGTTATGGTGTTTGGTTTATGAATGAGTGTGCGAAAAGCGAAGACGTGACTTCTGAACGTAATTCATGTAGAAAACAAAAAAAAAGAAATCAGTTTAAAACCGAATGTCCGACAACAAGGCAGAACAAATAGAAGAATAATAACAAAAAACGATGAACAATACTCGAAACGAACATTTACATTTATTGTTGTGATAAGGTAATATTATCCGGTGTGTAGGGCCAAAGAACCGCATGCCAAGCTGCCATAGACATAGAGTGAGAGAAGTGCATATCAAATTGACATGTTATGGAAAACAAGTGTGTTTTCATTTATTTGACGTAGTAAACGAAATGAAAAAAAAAATATTGTGTTCAAACATAAAGCAACCGAAACGAAGGACAAATTTTGAAATTGAGCTGACCAACACGTTTTTAACATTGCGGTCGTTTTACCTTTTTCGGGGTTTTCCCGAGACTATATGTATTTTTTTTCTCGAATCTTTCTGTGTCCTTTCGCTTCTCTCGACACACCAAATTATGAGCACACTGTGTGTAAATCAGGCGCTCAACATCGATCCTTTGTAACCTTTTTACACGCACTCTCTCTCTCTCTCTCTCAAATATTCGTTTAATTTTTTTTTTCTCGAAACTTTACTGCACTGAGCAAATAGACGAGGAATGACAATGACAAATAGGTATGGTCTTGCCAAGACACTGATACCGACCGAAAATACGAGAAAAAAAAGCACAACATCAGCAGAGAATCGGAGAGAAAGAGAGAACAGGCATGAGAAAATCTGAAAATGGAAATGAAGCCCGAGGATAAATGCGGATTTAAATAATAATTTTATCAGGTCGTCGGTTTTTTTTTAATTTGCGTCCACAACGACGCAAACGTGTCGGTGCACTGCTAAAACCCAATCATGTATATTTTTTTCTCTATTTGGTCTCTCCCTTTTTCTCTTTTTGGCTATCTCGCTCGCGCTCTCTGCTCATTTATTATTGCATCTCGGCGTTGCTATTTCGGATGCATTACAACATACACCATACGGGATGCTTGCATCATATTCACAGTGTATTTTCGCTTTTACGTGTCTAAATAATGGGCATTTTTGTGTGTTAATTCAAGAGTTTGAATACCGCTCACGTACAGTCTTTTCTCTGTTCATTTCGGCTCTTAACTGCTGTTGCTGCTGCTGCGCTCCCTCTCATCGCAGGATACAGAAAGAAGAAGATGAGGAAGGCAAAAAAACACACGTTCAATTTAAATTTATACGATCCGCCGGTTGTGCGTTTCATATATAAATGGGGCGCAAAAATTTACGACAACGACAGCAGCAGCAGCAGCAGCACGAGCAGTACACGGCATTTAAAAACAAAGATGAGAAAGTTGCTGAAGGGAAACGGGATAGTTTCCCACAATCACAATCGCAATAGAGAATATGGGAGACAGAGAGAAAAATGGAATTTTTATTTGCTTGCTACATTTCATTCATGGATAGAAAAATATTAATGCCCCCAACGTAAGTAATAATGCTGACTCTGGCCTTTGTTTGTCGAAGCGGGGCAGAGCAGAGGGAAGAGAGAGAGAGAGAGAGATGATTTAGAATGGGCATGAAACACACAACCACAGAGAGAAAGGGAAATTGGATGCTTACAATTTCAACATCAATTTCGAAAAGCGAATATACATTTTCTCAACTAATTAACGCGTAACTTATCCTGTTTATACGAAACCGACAGGGTAAATAGACCCTCACTCACCGTCAGACCAAAATGACAGTAAGGCGAGTACATACATAATATTTTGTGATTTTATGGAAAATCATAAATAAACTTTGACATTGACTCGATGTGCTGAGAGATAATGAGATCGCAGCGTCTGCGTTGCTTACCGTTTCAACGAATTTCAATTAACCATCATGAATGGTGGCTCTAATGGACCAGACACAATTGTATCTGTTTGTGAACGAATCGAAAGGGACGTTATGTATCGATGATTGGATGAGAAATTGATACTCTCTCTCGCTCTCTACATCTATCTATCGGCCCTGAATTCATTTGCGATTCTCATCAACCAAGAGAGAAAGATTTAGAGACACAGATAATGGAATAAAAATTCGAAACTAGTTAATAGAAACATTTTCGCAAATTGTATTTATTTCCGCACATAATCTGAGACTTAACATTAGAAGAGAGGCAATATACGTTTGGGAAAAGGAGAAAAAAAAAACAAAAATCCATGCAGAAATTTGGGAATGGGTTCAGTGGCCAACAATGCAGTTCAGGATATTCTATCTGATTTGGTGGTGTTGTTGTTATATTCAGTGATATTTGCCTACGATTTGTGTGTATGTTTATGCCGATGCTGTCCATTGTTTGGGTTTGGTTCACTTTTCTCTCTCTCTCTCTCTCTCTCTCTCTCTCTCTCTCTCTCTCTCTCTCAACAACGACAATGACGACGACGACACACTAAAAATAAGAAGCAACATAATACAAGAGATATATTTTTTACGAAATCTTTGTGTCGTGTTGTAAGCGATTTTGCTGATTTTACTGATTAGTGTACTGATGGACAATGAGCTCAAAAATACAGACATGTATATATATATACGTTTTTATGCTTCATCTTCTCGTATATGTACGGATTTTTTTTCTGTTGTTGCTTCATTCTTGCTTTCTTTTTTGTTGTTGTCGTTGCCTTCGTGTATTTTGATTTTTGTCTCTCCTTCTGCATCCCGCATATCATCTTGTTTACATTTCTCTCTGGTCTTGTTGGCTACATGCATTTGGTATGCGAATTTCATGGTCCATTTCATGGTGACGTTATGTTTGTGGCAATTGAATGAAAAATTTATGAGATTATCGGGTGGATTTGTGTGTTTTGTACACTGCCATTCATTCTGTCTCGTTCACACTTTCATTCTGTCCGTGTCTCTCTCTCTCTCCCTCATTCGGTGTGTATGAGTCATCTACACCGATGCCTCCGTATACACACAGAGGCACCGAGAGGACAAGAGATTGACACACAGAGGCAGAGATAGAGTCAGAGTCAGAGAGCATGTCAGAGGGAGACAAAAGCATAAAAGAATGCCCACGTAAATGCATGAATTAAATGCATGTCGTCATCCAAAAAACCAATCATTTTTCAATCTATTCCACTTTATTCTACTGTTTTTGTTTGCCAAAAATCGCATCGGCAAAGCCAACTAACTACTCCATCAATGCGAGATTGAATGCACAAAAGAGTGACAAAGATGGAAAATGAAAACGACAAATTTTGACAATGCATGCATACCAATCATACCTTTTTGATAATCCACAAAACACATATAGCCATTGAAAGCCATTGTAATCGCTCATCGGCTCACATCAAATGAAATCCGTTTCAACGACCGACCGACAGATATACAGAGAGAGAGAAAGGGAAAGAGAGAGTGAAATTTTTTCGAGCCACAATTTTCAATCGGCCAATTTCAATGGCTACTTTTGTCAAAGCTATCAATCGCATTTTGCAGATTTTGTTACAATTGGTTTGTGTATGTATTTTGTGGCTGCAAAGCAAATGGAAAGCCAAAAGCTGAAAAAAAATCCGTCGTTTTTAACATTATTTCCAAATCCAATATTTTGTGCACATATTTCCATTCGTTCATTCTGGCTATGTTTGTGTGTGTGTGTCTGTTCTGTTGTCTCTCTGTTTTGGGCTGAAAAGCCGCAATTTTACGGTTCACAACTATTAAAGGATAATGAGTGCAAATTTAGTTAAGTTCAATTGTTCAAAATGCATTTTCCCAAAATGCCAAATACACACAACAGAGGCAATGATGATGATAATAATGATGACCCGAAAAACGACAAACAACGGCCAATCCCGAACCTAGGGGCATTTCTCACACAAAAAATTTGAGCAAATGTGCAGAAATGTCTATTATTTCTTCTTTTTTATTGAAACTGTAAGAAAATGTACTGAAATGACGATATTGCTTGAATAAAAGTGTTCTGGAAGTAGGTTTCAGTGGATCTCAAGGATCGTTCAGAACTGCTCCCGATTCTGGAAGTGGGTTTTGGTGGATCCTCAGGATGGACCAGATCCGGTTTGACAATGCCCTGGCCCATCCTGTAGATCCACTTCCAGAACCGGGAGCAGTTCTGAACGATCCTTAAGATCCACCAAAACCCACTTCCAGAACACAAGTTCAGTGTAAATGAACATTTATTTACACGAATAGATAAAAATTGATCGAATCGGACCGAACAGAAGAAATTTTTCAAAATTTATAAGAATTCATTCATTCTTTTCGTGAGAAATGCCCCTAGTCCCGAACAAAACTCAGAAAATCACCGTAATTCTCTTAGTAATATTATCAAGTATTTTAACCGATTTTCCAAATCTGTCTCTCTTTGTCCCGTCCTCTATGCGTCCCCGAGTGATCATTTAAATGAATAGAAAGAGATTTATTAAAATAAATTAGGTTAAATGTAATCGTATTAGATTTTGCACATGAAATATTCACTAATCGCCGACAGATTGATTTGGATACAGTTTCCAGGGAAATTATTGATTATGCTGGTTTCTTTCTTTGCCATTTCTGTATTATGTGTGTGTGTGTGTGTGTGAGATAGAATAAAAGTAAGATTTAGA